TTAGGCTCTGTGTCACAGGTGTGGGCTGTGCCCGAGCTTCCATTAGGCTCTGTGTCACAGGTGTAGGGTGTGCACGAGCTTCTGTTAGGCTCTGTGTCACAGGTGTGGGCTGTGCTCGAGCTTCCATTAGGCTCTGTGTCACAGGGTAGGCTCTGCACGAGCTTCCATTAGGCTCTGTGTCACAGGTGTAGGCTCTGCATGAGCTTCTGTTAGGCTCTGTGTCACAGGTGTAGGCTGTGCCCGTGCTCCCGTTAGGCTCCGCACAGGTGTGCGCCCCGAGCTGCTCACACAGCTTCCCCTCTCACCCCAGCACTTCATGCTGGCCATGGCCATTCTGTTCTGCCCACAGAAGCCCTTTGTGCATGTGAGCAGCACACACATGCCTTCATCAAAGCTTCATTTCACAAGTGTGCATCAGGCAAGGGTCTGCCTTACAACTGTGGGCCCACTTGTCACCCCAGTGACAACTGCCCAACATCCATGCCTTTACACAGCCTACACTGCAGTTTCGGTGCCCCTCCCATGCAAGGCAGTGCAGGATGCTCCACACAGGAGGAAATTTCATGCTTTTAACAAAAATATTTCCGTTTTACAGATTTCTGAAAGCAAAACTGTGCCTTTGGTAGAATCGATGGAGCTTAATGAAAACTATATATACATGCAGTCCATAGCATCAACACTTATCCATCATTTCATTTTCCTTTGTTATTGCATATGTTTAAAAGATTTGTTGATTCCCTGAAGTTATTTTAGGTATCTTACTTATGTATCTATTTTTGGTGCACTGTGGGTTGAATGAAGACCTTCTCCGTAGGCTCCACTCCCAGCCCCTTCTTAACTTTTTTTGACATGCTGTTATGGTTTAGATCTAAACCATCCCCCAAAGTCACAAGTATTCAGAACATGACTGGATGGTAGGAACAGGGCCTCATCCGATGAGCTCAGGGGCTATACCTGCTCTGAGGGTCCTGGCTGGAGGCCATTATTGGGGTGTAACCCGAAAAGTGGTATCCGTGTGCCTGGATCCTCCCCTCTCCCTGCCCCATTGCAGCTGTGATTTAAGGAGTGTTATTCTACCATGTTCTAGAGCCTTGGAGCCAGCTTGTCACAGTGTGAACCAAATTAACCCTAATATCAATAATAGGGACACAACTTTGAGATATTTCTTTCATATAATGAATCATTAATTAATGACAATTAATGACTTAATTGAAACCACAGCAATGACAATTCGTCATATATACAGGCAAGTTAGTTGTAGGCCACAGTATGAAGGGCAATTTACAAAAATCACAGAAATTGTTAAAAGTAAAATGGTCAATTTTTTAAAAGCTTTCATTTGCTAGCTTTGGTTGACAGTGGAGCATTAAGGGAAGCAGGCGGCACATTAAGAAGCACAACCATGAGGCAGACAACTTTTCATCTTTGTTATTTATGCTCAGCTTTAGATTCTTTCTTCATTGAAGCTATTTTCTCTGAGCACTATTATTGTCAGTGAGTACATTAATCAAATTTCTTAGTGAAAAATGATAAACCTCAAATGTACATAAAACTTAAAAATCTACAAGGATATTTGGGACACAGATATATCATCTAGCTTTTCACTTATCCCTGAATACCCGTATGGCCATGAAATACGCAGGGAGGCACCGAAGCTCCTTAGAGTGCAAATCCAAACACTAAACATTATAAACTTAGGTAGTGGTTGAAAGACAAAGCAAGTCACAGGAGGACACAGGAGGAAATGGTCTTTTGAAATTTCCTTCCTTCTTGTTCATATAATTTCTGCTTCTAAAAAACTGAAATGGAAGGACTGTGAGTTCAAGACCAGCCTGGGCAACTTAGCAGGACTCAGGAAGGAAGGAAGGAAGGAAGGAAGGAAGGAAGGAAGGAAGGAAGGAAGAGAAGGCAAGGCAAGGCTTCATTTTCCTCATGGAATGATAAATTATACTTTGAATAAATAATTAGTTCTGTCCTGAGTCCTATTTTCCTCCTGGAAACTGCATATAAATCTTGATTATCTCTGTTAAAAGAAAAAATGAATTACTGCACAGATTCTTTTAGAATTATTCTGAGCAAGAAGTGAGACACTGAGTGGTCAATGTGGGCAGAATTTTAATTTTGGAATCAAATGGAGAGTATTTAGCAGCCAAGATGTCAGCTGAGTG